TGGTGAAATTTATATAAACTCTTTAAAAAGTGTATGAATGAAGTGATTAAAAACATGTTTATTGCTTTCATGGAACCTCACTTCTCATTCAGAGACCTTTTTCTGTTATTAGGCAAATATTTTTAAGGCATTTGCTGAATTGTTCCAAGTTGCTTCAGCTAAACCTGCGCCTCTTGGCATCTGTGATTATCCATCATCAAGAGCAATATACGCTGTTGACTTGATGCTTAAATGGGACACCAGCAGAGATGGTGAGAAGCTCATTTCTTTGAATGTTGAATTCTCTATATTTGTGGGCCTTTTCAGAAATTTATTTCTTCTGTCTGAACTCTTATTATTTTTCAAGCAGTGTGAGCTGCGTGCTCTGTGCCTCCCACTGGCATCAAGGCGTATCTGGAGCTGCAGATCTGTGGGGTTGGCATCTGCCATGCTGGTTAACAGTAATGATGGGGGAGCTGTTAACTGTGCTTGGCTGAGTCCTTGCTTCCCTTGTGCCCCTGCTACTGCCATTCTCTGTTTAAAAAACAAAACAAACAAACAAAAAACAAAACCCCACACACAAAAAAACCCCAACTGTACAGCAATCTAGCCACTCTGACAGCAGCAAGTTTTGTTTCCCATTTATGGTGAGAGAATGTCTGAAATGCCTGTCTCTTTATGAGACATCTTAAAGAGACCTATCTTACTATCTGTGGCTTCCAGGCTTGGCCCAGTGTCTTCAATGCACAGTTACTTAATAAAGCAGGGAAGGGACCACATCCACCATTTCAGTGCTATTCATGTCCTCAGGACTGTCACTCAGTTGTTGCTAATTCTCTGCAAAAACATGTATGTGAAGTTGCTTCATGTTAGTGCCACAGCATGGCTAACTACCTGGTGCCTTTCTTCCACCCAGTTGTGGAGGACTGGTAGCAAAATTTGCCAAACGGTGAATTCTTTATTATCTCACCAGGAGGCTCAAAAATGTTCTGGAAGCGTGCCCAACCCAGACATGTGTCTCTGCAGAGACACGCAGAGAAAAATCACATAGAAAAGCAGCAGAAGCAGCAACACAAAAAGGGCTGTCGGGAGAGTACTAAACAGAACAGATCGTACTTTTTTCTTGTGACATTGTGGTCCCCGGAACACAGGGAAAATTCATTGCTTGTGTCCAGGTTTGCTGGAGGAGTGATTAGATGTTGTATATTGGGTGGGTGCCCCTATCCCACTTCTGCAGTGGCTGATTCTGTAAATATTGAATCACTTTCATGGAGTGAGATGATTGAGAAACAGGAGGTGTACAACTGAGCCTTTCCTGTTCAGATCAAGTGGAGCAAGGGGTTGAATTTGGGTGTGCTATGTCCATGTTGAGTGCTCTTTCAGCTGTCCCAGAGTTGTCTTGAATGGGAGAAGCAAAGCAACTCACTATTATTACTAGCTCGAGGAAAACTATTGTAGTAAAAGGACCAACCTCAGATTACAGCCCTGTCTGCACTGCGTAGGTCCCTAGCCTTTTGAAGATGGAGGCGTGGGTGCCAAAGTCACAGCTGTGGTGCTATAGGCTGCCTACGGACAAATAGGTTAGTTGCTTCTGTGCAGAGCAGAGTGTGGTTTACCTATGCATCAGAAGCTTGTACCCTCACTTATGATCTCAACACCAGACAGGATATAAAATCCTTTGTTTCTCTTTGCACAGAACGCATTTGATTCTGAACTCTGAACTGTACTGATGAAGTTTTAAAAGAAAATTAAACAACTTCTAGGAGTGAGATGAAGTGGCAGGTGGGAGTGCCTGGAATGTAAAGGAAAGGACTGCTAGAACTAGAAAGGTGGATATCTAAGAGCTTTAAGAAAGGAAGGTTTGTACTGAAATGTGAAAGGAGAAGCAGAGTTTTCTGGAAGACGTTTGAGACTGTCAAGCAAGACCGCTGTATCAGGGAGATCCTATTAAATCACTGCAAATTCTCATTCTAAATGAGGCATTGGATTAGCACAGTGATTGCAGAATCTGTTGGGTAGTTGTGCTCTGGATAATGGTGGTAGAACAGACCTCCGTCCCTCCAAAAAAAACCAAACCCACTGAAATAAAAACACCTTACCGGCTTGCCAGCTTGGGTCATAAAAGATGGCTTTCTCCAGACATTTTCTATAATCTCTGGCTTAAAGATAGGTAGTGATTCAGGATCTCTATAGAGCTTGTATTAAGAGGCAATGTTTGTGTTCCCCTTTACAGGAAAAAAAATGATGCAGCCTCAGATCTTGGAGGTGAACTTTAATCCTGACTGTGATAGAGCCTGCAAATACCACCCTACCTTTTTTAATGATGTCTTCAGCACCCTATTTCTGGATGAAACAGACAACTGCCATGTGACATGCATTGTCTAGCCACAGGAGGCTTGACTCTATTAACTTCCTTCACAGATATGCTTAACAGCAAGATTTATATTTCAGTTCTATGAGCTGCTGATGCAACTATTTTCCTATACTGGTAACCCAGGAAAAAAAGTCATCTCAGAAGAATATGCATATACCATATACTGTATTGATAATCATTTTGTCTGCATTTTCCTTGTCTTGCTTAGTTCTATAAATCATCGGTTTGTGTGGACCAAATATCTTGTTTATTGAATATGGGAGACCTCAAAATAGGACAGTAACTGGAGCAATTGACTTGTTTCTCAGGTAGCCTGATTGCTTGCTTGCTGGGAGACATTGCACAAGTTCCTCATGTCAACATTAAAACTATAATTTACTGAATCATGTTCGTATATCTTTCTTATCTATCCATGTTATACAAAGATGTAAAATGTTCTGATGGGAAAATAATATGGTATTTCAGTGCAATGAACTACTAGGGTAATGAGATGAAAGATTTGATGCTCTTCCCATTTTTCTTATTTAAAGAAAGGCAAACAAACCCCACAACATTTAGGAACCCTATACTGCTGGCTGTCATCCTTAGCTTGCCCCTTAAAGAAACTAGATTTGTGAGAAGTGGTCAGGCAGGAAGTGAGAAGGATGCAACGTCTAGAGCAGCACAGGAATGCAGAAGAAGCCCGAAGGAATGAAGGGGATCTGGGAAACTGCTAGAAGCCCAAGCAGTCTTTGGACTTCAAAGTTTAGGGCCTAACATACAGGTATTTGGGAATGGGGTGTCACTCCCTCCTCAAATCAGGGTAACTGGCTGAAATTTAGCAATTTTAGGTTATATTTATGTTCCTTTATATGTATGTACAAGTTGCAAAAATTCTGCTGTCTGTCATGAAGTCTATATTATGTGGGTAGTATTTTTTTTAAGCTAGTTGCAGCAATCAGGATCTGCTTGAGAGTGAAGTACAGTTATAAAATTGTATAAATGTTCTAAACCTTGCTTCAAGCTTTGCAAATATGCAGCATGTTACCCCTCCTGATCAGGAAGGGAGAGGGATATTTTAGGCTATTTCAGGCTGGTATGCAGAAACCTACTTCTTTCCACTGAGTGGAACATAGGCTGGAGAAAGAAACCATCTATGTCTTATGAAAATTCAGTCCCTGCACAGGAGGGGCAGAAGAGAGAGCTGGATTGCACAGCCAGAAGTGCTGCTCACAGCCATATCAACATCCTGTTATGAGTTAGAACTCTTTTGGACTTCTTACTTAAATGTGATTAAAGAAACATGGTGAAGTGCTTAACATAGATGTTGTGACTACTTCCAATGCAGGGAAAAAGTTTGTCTGTGATATAGAATATAGTAATGCGTGCTTGAGACTGGACATAAGGGGACATGCAGTGCTGCTCAGCAGATGTATTTGTCACTTGTAGGAGAGCAAAAGGCACTTTCTGCCTTCAAAGTACCTGAAAACATGTAACAAAGTGTCTGGGGATATAGAGTAAAGGGGAAGGTTTCCCTCATCATGAAGGGAAAAGTGATGTCACACTTAGCAAACCAGAAGAATGACTTTAAAAAAGTAGTAAGGTTTGTGCAGTGGGACCATAAGCTGTGGGCAAAAAGTCTGTTGCTGTGCTCTTAGACAAAAGAAATGTTTTTATCTTACAGGAAGCAACTGGTTGAACTAAGCATCCCAGATCTTACTATGTCAGCTACCATAACCCTGAGAAGGAGAAACCCTTGTTTCTATTTCTAAGCAGCTAAAGTGGGAAGGTGCAGGTAGGAGACACTAGTAGCTATGGTGTATGTACTGCCCTGCTGGGCAACAGACCCACCCGTGGCCTGGCTGCCGGCTCCACTGTCAAGGTCTAGTGGTGAACTGGCATCACACTGAGGGTCCAGGTGGAGTATGTTAGTGCTGTTTAGCCAGTGCTGCTGGTGATGCCTCAGAGGTGTGTGCAGGGGGCTGCTAATATTTTGATCCTTTCAGTTTCTGTCCAGGTGCTCTGAATTTCCTGTTTTGTCTTGCCTGTTGCAATTGTGAGGGGAAGAGATGAAGGGGATATCTTTGAGGCTATAGCATCCTGTTGCCTTCAGTATTTTTCTGCTCAAAACCATTTAAAACCAATAAAAACAAGGTTAGTAAGTTTACATGTAGTTTAATGCATTTAGCTGACACTAGATTGTACAGTGCTTCAAAGTGGGAAGGTACAAACTGTGGAAAAAAAAAAATCTTGTCTTAAACATTTCCAGAGTACAATGACCAGAAGATAAGTATCTGGCAACTGTAGTTGGACACATCATAGCACTGAAGCACTGTGTCTAGAAGTAAACATGAAAGATTCAGGCCACAGTCATGCCTGTCACTGTTAGGAGCAGCTTTCTGGAAGCTGTGTTAATATATGGCTGGATTTCTTCCCCTGAACATAATGAAGTTGCAGTTCATGCTTCTTTCTGGTAATAGTTAAAATGCTGTTGTCATATAAAATGTAATGCTATAACATAGAAAACTAGTACTTTTCAATCAGCACTATCTGCTGATTGAATTTGTTTGCTATAAAACTCAGTCAGGCATATACCCCTTTGACTTGCCTAGTAAAGACATACTTGTTTTAAACAAGTACTGCTTCGTGAACTTGTAATTAGCAAACTGATGTATAAGTAGTTCAGCTAAAAATAAGGCCATAATTTTATTTAGAAAATTCTTGGGGAAAAAAAAATCTTTTTGGCTGAAAAACGTTTATTCAGATTGTTTCTTGTTGCGATTGTCATTCCAGATACGGTAATTGAGTGCAGAAGCCATGGTGAGCCAAGCTAAATAAGGAATCATCAAATAAGCTGCTGTTTTGTTGATGTTATACCAGGAAGCAGTTGTAGCTGTTGCTGTACCAGTTGTGAGCAGGAGAGTCACCAACCCCTGAAACACAGGAAGGTGGTTAGTGTTGTTTTTACTTGTTGCATTTTCTTGACTAGATAATCTTTGTGTGGCTCTTTCCACTTAGCTCTGGCACTTGTTGGATCCCTCTGCGAGTTAATTCCTTCTCAGAAAACCAGCAAAAAGAGAGATATTTCTGCTGAGTTATGAGTTGAATTGACTCATAAAATGATACAACGTCACAAGAAAGGGCATTGCAGCTGGGAGCAGGAGAGAGAGAATAAAATCCTCCTCACCATACCCTCTTTTTGTGATAGCAGGAAGTGCTACACTGACTACAAACCCAGTATGACTTTGAGCCAGTCACTTAGCTAAGTAAACTTACCTAGTCTTTTCATGTCATAGATGCTGCCTGAAGAGTTGAATCAATGATGGATTGCAAAGTCTTCCACTATTACAGCATTGCATATATATTTAGAGAACCAGGCAAATATTTTTTATTTTTATTATTGATTTTTATTTTTCAGGCAAGCTGTTTCTATTCAGACTGCAGAAAATTAGTCTTGTCTAAAATGGGTGCTGATTACCTGAGTAATGTTATGATAAGCTTCTTATCACTGCTGTTTGCCAGATACCTAGGAATTTTAGTGAGGCATAAATGTTTACATTTTCTAGTCACACAAAGCTCTTATCAAAGGGTGGCAGAAAGAGCTTCTTGAAATCTAAATATTTAAGGATGTTGTAGATATGTAAATTCTCTCAGGTGGCTGCTGGGATGCATTAAGGAGAATTTTATAAATGACACAAAACTTCTGTCTTAGCACCTTGCAAATGACAGCAGAAGCCTACGATTAAGAAACTTACTCTTCCACTTACCCATCCCATTTTGTGTGCTCCAAAAAATATCGGAGTCCATGCCCAGTTTAATGCCAGCTGTCCTGCATAGAGACCCAGGGGAACCACCGACTTTTCATTGAAGCCCCCCAATTCCTTCCACACCAAGTAGGAACCGTATCTGGAGAAAGCAAATGTAAGGTGTAATTCAGTACTTTGGTTTGAAAGCAACCACACGTTCTTGATCAAGTGAAATTACTACAGTGCTAGGGTCTAAATTCATTTGGAAAAGTAGATATCCAGGTACTACTTGGCAGAATAACTGACTGCACAGGGTTGATCACCTACTGCAGATAGCCATATGGAGAAAGAAAAATTCCCTATTCTGCCAGAGTTCTCACTTCTAGGTGCAGAGGAGCAGATGACCCACTGCGTCTCAGTCTTAAAAGAGAAAGCTGTGTTGAAATGGAAGCAAGTCTAAGGGTGGAAGGGTAAAAGGTAAGTCTCTAAATAGTGAAGAAACTGTTAATTTTGGTACTGGGAGATGGTGCTTTAAAAATAAATTTTAAAAAAAAACCCACAACCCACTAACTTTTTAAGTGCATGAAATGGATATAGGAGAAGTAGGAATTGAGTGGCATCCCAAAGCACAGGTGAATATGGGGATGGATGGTGTTAGAGCAGGACGAACGCTATAGTCACTTTTCAGAAGGAAGGGGACGAAGATGGGAAGAAGAAAAATTTTAGGAGTTCTGTGGAAAGAATTAACCACAGGGAGCATCCAGCACCCTTCCTGCTTGCAGGATCCTGACTACTGAAAGATCTTCCAAAAATATTTTGAAGATTTTGAACAGATCTTCTTAATGCCACAGAAGAACAGTTCACTGGAGGGATCCCAAAATGTAAGCTGCTAAAGACAGGAATTCTCAGGATTTGGGAGATTTACTAATGTAAGGCTTATTTTTGCACTGAAAGAGCCCGATTAGAACAGGGAGCATTCATAACCTAAGACTATTTCTTTTGTTCTTGTTTGACTTTCTCTTTAGACATTATCTAGATTTCAATCCAGATGACTGCACAGCCATTCCAAGTGACTACAGAAAAATCCCCTGGATAAAATGCCAGCATCTGGAATTATACCCTTGTTTCAGAATTAGTAACTGAATACTGATTCCATCCTGGTAGGAATGTCAGCTGGTCTGTGCCCTATGCTGGACAGCAGGAGCTCATATGTGTTTCTGCTGGCAGTGGAGCAAAGATGGAGACCAACTTGTAAGCATCATTTTTTTAGGAGGAGACAAACATCCATAGGAGTAATTGTAAAGAGTTTGTCCTCATTTTTAGGTCGTACAAGAAGGATTTTTTTTTTTCTGTTTAACCCAGTTAGTGACCTAAGCTTGCTTCTTGGCCATGACTTTCATAAGGACTGAACAATGCAGCTTTGATATCTTGGCAGTTTGATTGCAGAGAGTATTAAAAAAAAGAAAGGGGGGCAGGGTAAGCATTAGAAACTTAACAGTTTATCTTCGTAAAAGGCATCAGGACCCAAATCTGTTCCTAAGTGATGTACAGGGCCACAGTGTGGACTTACAGTTCTTCGTACATCATGATCTTGGTCTGAAGTCAAAGTTAGATGTACAAATCTGCTAGGAAGCTAAATGTCAAGAAAGGCATGTAAGCTTATTAAATCTTGCTTTTAGTTATTTCTTGCTTTTAATATATTCAAGAAATTCTAAAGGAATGAGATGTCTTGATCATTCAAGGAATGTGTGCACATGATGAATTACAGAAGAAAAGGCCTGGTAATAAATATGATCTTTTTACTGAGCTAGATGTAGAATACATAACCGGGTCCATCCACCTCTAAATGTACTGATTCTGATATCATCAAAGTAAGTCATAAGCTGTCAAAATTTGGATTTTTAAAATATTTAACTTGGTATCCAGGTTTATGATGAGGAATCCAGAAACAGGGTTACAAATTGTGCAGTCAACTTGAAGGACGCCCTTCATGGGAAAGCCATTCAGCTCGTCTCTGATAAAAGGCATTTTTTTTATTCATAGGACAGTAATGATTCAAATGCCAACTCTTGGAATATACAAGAGTAGAGAGCAATTTTTAAAAGTACACTCTGTAAGAGGAGAAAGAAAAGAGAATACTGACGGGAAAGGAGGGACAGTACATGAGGCTATCAAAATTACAAAGCTTTTCTGGAAAGAAAATGAAACCAAAATGAGAGAATGCGTGAGAGCCAATTTAACATTCAGATACAGTTTCAGACATTGCATCATTGTATTTTGCAACAGGTGGTGTGGTATTTAAGATAACCTGCAGGATGACTATGTAATGTTAACTTGGAAAAGATTTGGTCTCTTTGAAACTTTATATAGTTAAGCCAGTGCTATGTACAAACTACAAATCACTTAAAATGTACTGTCATGATGGAAGAAAGGGGAGGGGTAAGCAATAAAAGGCATATTGTAGCCTAAAAACGATTACTGTTGGATTAACAACAATGTGTATTGGGAGCTAGGAAAAAACATGCTGAATCTTGGTATGTAGCTAGTTCTTAACGATCAAGTGCAGAAGAGACACAAAGCATCACTTTGTGCTTAGGGGCTACACTGACCGCTGTTGAGGCTGTAGGAGCAGAGTGCTACCTCCTCTGTGGCACAGCTCACCAGAGTTAACATAAAAGCACGTTATGTTGGGTGGACAGCTTTTAGAGCAGTCTGTGAGGAGTATCAAAACTACCCAAACAATCTCCTGAGACAACCTACCTCTATAATTATTTTTGCTACATCTTATTAAAAGGAACAGCTGCCAAAATACAGTAGTATTGAACTTTTAAGGTTCCTGGGGGAATGGTATTTGGCCTTCTGATTCCTTGTTCATTTGACAGTAACTGCTGTGCTGTCAAGTTTTTTAAACTAGTTAAATGAGGAGATGGTTTCAAGCATTTACAGTTTAACAGCCTGGCACTTTTATTTGAAAGGACATGTATGTTTTGATTTTGGTTTCTTTTAATTGAGCTCTGTTAGAACAGTTCTATCCTAATTCTCCCCCCTGCCCCCCCTTTTTTTTTTTTAATTTTCCTAAAACTACTGAAGAACATACATAGAAGAAATTCCAGTGCTGCCTTGCTGTATTGCTGCCAGCTTGGCAGGTCTTCCCCTCAGAATGAATGAGGAAAGTAAATTAATGGCAGCTTTTCAAACTCCTGCTTTTGATGTGGATACTTGTGCATGCAGAATGTCCTATCAAACCCACACAAAACTCCCAAAACATGTTTCTACCTGTTAAACAGGCAGCTTGACACAGTTTTTTACAAACATAGAGCCACAGGAATACAATAATAGTTCTCTGGTCCAGCATTACACAATAAGCAACTTTGAGATCAGATAAGTGCCTTAATACAATGTGAAAAACATACCCCATAGATGTATAGAGAGTTCCCCAAACAGGAGCAAACACCCAGTTAGGTGGACACCAGGATGGCTTCTGTAGAGATTCATACCACATTGGGATTTCCTTTTTGGTTATCTTGCTTCCTAAAAATCCTCCTGCATGGGGCAGGAGTGTGAAACCCACTGCTGGGGCCCAGGCTGGTACCACTTCCATTGAGACAGTGAATCTGAAACAAACCCAAACATGCTGATTGGCAGAGCAATTTTAAAATGCAACTACAAAAATTTTCCATTTTTGGCAATTTAAAAAATATATCTGTGTAGGATCTCATCCACAGCCTAGTCTTGTCATTGAGAAAGACTGCAGCTGAAATTAATGGATCTTGTACCCGGTTCACTGGACTATACTCACCCCCATAAAGGAACCTATCAATCATTTACATTGAGGGGGGAAGTGAGGCCTTTACTTCCTTCTCAGCTTTGTGCACTAAGATTACTGAATTTTACCTACATAAATATCCTCACCCATAAGTATGCCAAAGGAATAAAGCAGTTTGATATTATATGAACTCCACTTGGAAAAGAAAAAAAAAAAACAACACACCACAAAACAATCCACTAAGTGTATATTTCTGTATTCACCAAAAGGTCCATTCACTTAATGGAATGGCATAGTCAAGAATAAGAAAACAGTGTGTGCTTTCCTGTGCTGAAGCAAAATAATTTTATACCTTTTGTGGCATTTTTTAGCCTCAAAAGGTTGCTAAAGATGCTCAATGGCTAGTAAGAGTGATGTGAATTAGTAGCAGACACTTGAAAAGCTGCCTTGGAAAATAAACACCAGGGAGGACAATGAGAAGGTAGGTACTTAAATGATGTTTTGCTAAACATGGAAGGAGATCTTAGTGGATAAATGGGGAGTACACCTGTGGCTTCTTCATGAAGCACTCAATCAGTTGCAGCAATCACAGCTGCCAAGCCCATAAAGTGTACTGGATTAAATTTGCCTACACAAGTAAGACAAAGTAATGCCTTGCTCTGGTAGGCTGCTCTGCTTTAGTTAGAGTACAGGCAGCAGTAAAAAAAGTAAGCAAGTAAGCAGGGAAAAGCTTCATTGCAGATTTTCTGGCCAACAGCCAAATGCTACAGAAGAGCTGTGTTTAGCTTGCTAAAATGTAAGCAGATAAGAGGTATGATAAAAAAGGACAGAACCGAAACATGTTATTTTTTTCAAATGTACAGCAGGTAAATACACCCAATTCCTGTTCATCTGTTATGCAGGAGGGGGAGACAGCAGGAAGGAATCATAAGAGAGATTGCAGCAGTGGGGAAAGAGCAGCTGTGGAAGCCCCAGGAGAAAAAACAAAGTTTTAGAGCAACCAGCATTTCAGAGGCTTGTCAAGAAAAGTGCCATATTGACTTGGCTGTTGTCTTGGCCTATGTTTCAAAGTTTTTATTGCCATAGTTATGACTGGTGGGATGAGGAGGCAGGGAGTGGGGAAGAGGAAATCCCACTTGTAACAGATGTGCTTAAACTGACAGGAAATGGCGCACAGATGACGTTGCATTGTCGCAGTTCTGGTACAGTGGATTTCTGTTTTGAGAACAGGTATAAGCTTGGCCAGCAAGGAAGCTCTCTTGCATTATGGTTTCTGCTCCTGTTCTCAGGGGTCTGCCCATACAGTTACGCAGATTTAATGAAGAGATTTCAGTGGCTGGGACGACAAGCCAGATTGCATGGGATCAAGGAAAATCCTGGTGATAGAAGCAGAACAGAATTTTGAAGGCAAAACAGAGCATGGAGGGACTAGTGAAGCATGTAGGATTAGAAAGTTTGTAAGGAGTAAACAAGAAAGGACATGTAGGCTGCTGCGCTGTGGGCATGCCTCAGGGGAGAGACGTGGGAGGGCAATGAGTAGGAATGCACACAAAAAAGGCAGCAGACAAAGCAATACAACAGTCGAAGTCAAAAACAGAACAAAAGAATGAACCAGTGAAAGAAAAACTAAGCAGGGAAGAATTCAGAACTAAGGTTGGGGAGAAGTGGGAGAACGATATGCTAGTCTGTTGGAATCAGTATCAATTAGGTCTTGGGTGGAGGATGGACAATAAGGAAGGGAGGAAAAAATCTGCATAGCTCATTGCTGTAGTCATTGCTGCCACATTTCCTGCCTAATGGATTCTACTTGTTACTTACCAGGGAGCATCTTAAATGGAGCAAGGGAGTTAACGTGTTCTCCTGCGCCTAGATCTGTATTGTTACTTTCCTGAGGGAGCAGGCTGTCAGCTGCAGTATACACTACTTGTCACCTGTACTGACAGCATGAAAGGCTCTGCTTTCACTGGGATGTGAAGGAATTGCTTATGTGCAGGAGCAACAAGGTGTAATGGGAACAAGAGCTCCAAGCGCAATGATTCTCTTTGGTTGCCTTCAGATAAGTAATTCCCAAAGGTTAAGTTAGAAATCTAAAGTTACTAAGATCTCACTAATTCTTAACCCTGTTGCCCTTGCTTTGCCTACAAAGGGAACACTAGGCTTAGTTCTTTACACATGCTGTGAAGTGCTGGTCATCTGTGCAGCTCCAGTGTGGCTGTCAACTTTTTTTTTAAAGTGATAAGCAAGGACCCAAAGGGGTTTATGCTTCGTTTGGATATAACAATATCAGGGTAGTTTCCTGCAGGTATTAAGCAACTGGACTTTGTCAGGGGTTCTGTCAGCTTCTCCCCAGGGAAGAAAGTCTGAAAGTGTTCTGCAAGCTGAAAGTGCTAAATGCTATCAAATTGGAAAAATACTGCTCTGCTGCAGTTATTAGTGAATAAATGGATGTAGCTATGCATCTGTCCCTCTGCATGTTGGAGGAAGAACGCTGAAATAATTCTTAAGTGACAAGAGAAAGAAAATCAGGCAGGCAAACAGAAATGGGGAAGGCACAAAGCAAAGAAACAGGGAAAGTGAAGCCGTGCGTGAACAGGAAAGGGGAAGAAATTGAAGTAAAGAGATTGAACATACTGGCTTGAATTGAATGTTGGTGTCCTAGTCTTTTGACTACTGTTACTACTAATTATATACTATGTTTTCCAATAGTATTTCTCAGGACTGCCCAAGCATGGCAAAATACTCTCTCTTGCATAGTACCAAGGAGAAAGAGAAACAAAGCCATGCAGCAAGATCAGAATGTGCTGGTAGGCTCGGCCTAGTAGACCACAGCTGGCCATCAGCAGTGGGAATTCTTGTATTTTAATTCCTAAGAAATGAAATACTAGTATCAATTTCCCATAAAAAGCAGTAACTAACTCAGGGAGCAGCACTAGTTGATTTTGGAAGAAGCCTTGTCCATCTTCCTCTGGTTACTTGGTGTATGTAGGGTCTGTAGTCAGAGCGTGAGTAAAAGGCAGGGATGCACTGGAGAGTTGGTGCATTTGGTCAGTGCTGTAGCGTTTGTTTGGTTAGCTGTGCAGCATGAGATCTGTGCAACCTTTACAGAATGCCCAGTACAGTTTTTGAAAGTAATGTAATCACAGAGTATAAAAAGGATTATAAGCCCTGACTTCCTTTTAGTGTGTAGCTGATACTCCTGAAATTACTTGGTGATAACTTACACAGTACAGGCTTGCTAACACAGCCCCTCTGGCTACATCTATGTTACACAACCTAGAAATAATTACTATTTTCCCAATCATATCCCAGCTCCACTTCAGGGTGAGATCTGGTTGCACAATATTCTGTGGATGATATCTGCAGTGTGCCCAGCAGATACCTGCCTCTAAGAACCACCACAGTTGGAGATCTTTTCTCCCCGCACACACTTAACTTGTTTATTTCTGTTTCCACCTCTTATCTCTGCCCTGCAACATTTTCTTCATCATCCTGCCCATTTTCTGTTTAGCTCTAGTCTGACTTCAGGCAGTTTCAGCCATTTTCAGAGGGCTGCAGCAGGCCAGTTGTTTTACAAACATGTTAAATTAATTTTTCTAGATATTCAAAACATCCAACTTGCCCAAAGATGGTTCCAGTTACATAAAATAACAGGAGAAATAAAGCGGGGGGAGGGAGCGGGGAATAATACTGCAACTTGCTGCCTACTGGGCAGGTTGTTTCTCTGTGGTGGTGTAACATGCAGAAAATCACAGAGAAGCTTTCCGTGTCCTCCTCTTTCTGGAAAAAACATTGCGCACCCAAAAAAGCGATGGGGTGCACTATGGGGGGGACTAGCTATCTCATGACAGAGGAGCTGGCTTGCTTCAGCCTGATGAAAAATGAACTAAAACACTTCCTTGCTTCGAGCAGGTCTCTGAAAGGCAGGTGGGTCCCTTCCCCTTCTCTGGGCACACCCAGGGAGAGCTCAGTCAGTGGGAAGGAGAAGGAAGGGAAGGACAACTACTTTCATTGCATTTTCTTATATCCTTCTTCTGATAAACCTGTAACTAATCCCTTTCTTGTGCAACTTAGTGCTGCCTACCCAATCACATGGGGCTTAAATTATAGCTATCGCATTAAAAACACAAAGGAAAATCTCTCAGCAGGGCTAAATCACCCACGCGGTTCTGGGGTTTCTAGTCCCTGCTGTTTTGAGGTAGATTGACAAAGCTGTGAACTTACTGCTGAAGGGGGGGTCCCCACCAAGATACACGCTCTCCCTCTCATCCTCTACAGTGTATTTTTTGAGGACAGATAAGGGTCTACCCAGGTCTGAGAGGCAGCATGCAAATTTTCCCCAGGGAAAAGGCTTCTTCCTGAGATAGCTGTCTGACGAATTAAGGGGTGCATACTTAACTTATATTGATAAACTATTTATGTCTGTTGTGGCTTTAACTCCTGGAAAACCACAACACTAAAATCAAAGTTATATCACAGTCTGTGACACAGAATACAGCTACCACAAAAAGACAGTCTCACCTTTGTTATCTAATCTCAAGTAATAGAGAACCATAAAACAGTATATATTGTAAAATATAACTACAATATAAGTATCTAACACATAAGTGTATAGTATATGCTTGTAATATGTATTTATAACAAAAAATAAAAATTACGGTATTTATTTAAGGATATAAAGCAAGGTGTACTCATCAGAGACAACAAATCTCACTGCCCACGTTACACTTCTTTTAAAATGGCAGAGCACAAGTTGTGCACATAAATCTATGATTTATTGAAGATTCACATACTGGGAACTGAAATGGACGCTAGAACAAAATCTTCCCAGTGGTAATTTGCCATTT